AGGTCACCGGTCACGGGGGTGAGAGACTGAGAGTGAGACGGCGACAGTGAGATGTGAGACAGGTCGCAGGTCACTGGGAAGGAAGAAGACGAAGTGGAAGAGCGGCAGAGCTGGGAATGAGATGGACCAGAGTGAGAGTACGTATAGAATATGAGAGGGAGGGAATGGGTTCGGTTCTATTTGGGGTTTCAGACTGAAGAACAGAAGAAGAAGGCAGGCGATTGGTGCTACAAAATTTACAAATTAGACTGAAAAACGTCGTTCAAGGGAAAATAATAATATTTATTTATAATTAAATATGAAATGAAGTCGTTTTGCCTTACTTCGGTTCGATTCGATTTTCGAACCCCAGAAACCAAACCGAACTGAACTAGATTTGGTTCGGTTCGTTTTTTTTTTACCTCAATCTGGTTTGGTTCTCGGTTTTTTCGATTTTTGATTTTTTGAACTGGATTGAGGAAGTGTAGAGAGAGAGAGAGAGAGAGAGAGAGAGAGAGAGAGAGAGAGAGAGTTATAGAAAATTAAATCCAAAATTGGAGTCACAAATACGCAATGTGAAAATGGTCTCTTTGAATTGGATTGAGGAATTGCAGTCTCAAAGACCCAGAAATTCGAAAAAAGGGATTACATGTTCGTCTTTATTCTTGGTTGTTCATAGTTCGTCATTGGTGAGGCGCAAGGCCTACTTGTGGTCTGCACGACGCAGGATATGAAATCGTAAAAAAATAAAACAAAAAACCCTAAAATCTGACTTTTGTTGTTTTCAAATTATAATGGTTGTTTTTTAAATTTTTTCAGTCCAGTTAATGAGCCTACCAAACAGGTTTTTTTTTACCTTAAAACTTAAAAATTGTTTAAAAACTTTGGACTCAAATCCAATACCAAACAGGCCCTTAGGTTTTAACCCACAAATAGAAGGGGAAAAATAGGTTATAGGCTAGGGTTGGAGATGGTCTTAGGAGTCTGTCCTATCAGATCAATCTAAATCGTGATTCTCGCTTAGACAAAAAATAGACAACTTTTATTTTACTTTTTTTTTTTAATAAATTGTAAGAGACTTATTGAATACTGAACACATATTCTAAGCTTGTTTTCCACATTTTTATTATGTTCTAATACTTTAAACATATATATCATTTTATTTTGTAGTTTTTGTTATCTCAATAGAATTATATATTTTTATGTATATGTTTGGACCCAAATTTACACCATCGGCCCGTGTAATCAAGGCCGTTGAATGAGCAAAGTTTCTGTTTGGGCCCAAAATAATAGTTTGGGCCGAGTATAGAATCATTCTCGACCCGGAAGGCCTTGCGACAAGAATACCATGGATCGTTTAGTACGTGGGCCTCCAAACCTAGGTCGGCTAGGTCATAACGCAAGAAGTCGAGTCCTAATGCAATGAGGAGTCTCGGCAAGACCCGGAAGCGAATCCGGCTCGGTTAAGGACTAGGGTCACAATCCTAGTGAAAGTAGGACTAGTCGAGTTGGTACTGATCAGGAGAAGAAGACCTAGTCCGAGTAGGTTTTTAACTCGACCTTGGGGGGGCCGTTGCTATAAATAGAAGAGACTGCGCATCATTCAAAGACCTCTCCAATTCAACACACAACTGCCCTGCGCAAACTCTCTCAACAACTGAGATTTTTATTTTCTCTTTTCGCTGACACATCTTCCGTTGGCATCAACAGCACTCTGAAAGCAACCGGTGATATCTTAAGTCGGCATAGATAGCTCTGTCACCGTAGAATCAGCCGGTGTCGCAGCATCTTCCGTTGGCATCAACAGCACTGCGGTGAGGACGGTTGATTACCTATCCAAGTCTCGGTCGAGAAGGATTTCTGAATCCTTATTGGTCGAGGTCATCTCATCAGCCTTCTCGGCAAAGTGAGGTGTTACAGTTATTACATTCGGCACATTGAGAGCCGAATTTGATATTGAACTTTGTAAGAATAGTAACCTTGTCTTCAGGTTCGAGAGCCCAAGAGGCCGAGACGTGTTCCTTTCTCGGCCGCCATCGCAAGACGTAGAAGTCAGCCGCGCACCCAATGCAACATCAACAAAATTTACTCCTCGGCCGAGCTCGGCCGACGAGTTGGCACGCCCCGCATTCAGCGAATGACGTAGTTAGCTTATAGATTACTCGGCCTGCGCGCCACGTAGGCTTGGTAGTTTCTAGGGTCAACAGTATAAATTAACACTTATTTAGATGATAATTCTCCAGCTCTTCAGGAGTGGGTCGGATACACTTGCGACCCACCGAGTTATAGAGTTGTACGTACACTAAGCTAATATCACACATGTTTGCACCTACCTAGACGGAAACCTACGTGCTTAGGGGCGATACATAGAGAATACTCGGAAAAGATTATGATGAGTAGATTTTATATTATTGTTGACCCTAGAAACTACCAAGCCTACGTGGCGCGCAGGCCGAGTAATCTATAAGCTAACTACGTCCTTCGGTGAATGCGCGGCGTGCCAACTCGTCGACTGAGCTCGGCCGAGGAGTAAATTTTGTTGATGTTGCGTTGGGTGCGTGGCTGACTTCTGCGTCTTGCGATTGCGGCCGAGAAAGGAACACGTCTCGGCCTCTTGGGCTCTCGAACCTGAAGACAAGGTTACTATTCTTACGAAGTTCAATATCAAATTCGGCTTTCAATGTGCCGAATATAATAACTGTAACACCTCACTTTGCCGAGAAGGCTGATGAGATGACCTCGACCAATAAGGATTCAGAAATCCTTCTCGACCGAGACTTGGATAGGTAATCAACCGTCCTCGCCGCAGTGCTGTTGATGCCAACGGAAGATGCTGCGAGACCGGCTGATTCTACGGTGACAGAGCTATCTATGCCGACTTAAGATATCACCGGTTGCTTTCACAGTGCTGTTGATGCCAACGGAAGATGTGTCAGCGAAAAAGAAAGAAAAAATCTCAAAGTTGTTGAGTTTGCGCAGGGCAGTTTTGTGTGTTGAATTGGAGGTGTCCTGAATGATGCGCAGTCTCTTCTATTTATAGCAACGGCCCCCCCAAGGTTGAGTTAAAAAGCTACTCGGACTAGGTCTTCTTCTCCTGATCAGTACCAACTCGACCAGTCCTACTTTCACTAGGATTGTGAACCTAGTCCTTAACCGAGCCGGATTCGCTTCCAGGTCTTGCCGAGACTCCTCATTGCATCAGGACTCGACTTCTTGCGTTATGACCTAGCCGACCTAGGTTTGGAGGCCCACGTACTAAACGATCCATGGTATTCTTGTCGCAAGGCTTTCCGGGCCGAGAATGATTCTATACTCGGCCCAAACTATTATTTTGGGCCCAAACACTTTAACAATAAAAATTATCCCCACTTTTCCATCCGACGGTTGAGAACTATGTTTACTTAACGGCCTTGATTACACGGGCCGATGGTGTAAATTTGGATCCAAACAATTATATATTTAACCCTATTCTTAGTATATTTTGGTTAATATTTTGAAAGAATTTTGATACTTTAAATTGTATTTTCAATATAAGACTTCCAATTTCCTTTGGAGCAAAACAGGATCAAATGGATGAATTTTGGAGTAATTCCAGTTGAAGCACGTTCGTGAGTCACTCGTCCAAACCGTGTCAAAAAATCAAAATTTTCCACCAAGCAGCTATTTTCTGGCAATAAAATAAAAGAGCCGTGCGCAGTGTTGGAATAGTGACATTTTGGGCTTGAATTGCTTTTTTGGAGTTCAAGACGACCTCGGATGAGTTCGTGGCCTTCTAGAGATGTGTTCAGAATGTCCTAATCTTTAAAACAAGCTATCTTGGGCCGGATTTGGAGGAGATTTGAGGCTAGAACGTGGCTGGACAGTTTTTGTGCAGTTTATCCTAACTTAATTAGGACTTTATGTTTTAATGTATTTTGTTATTAGTTAGCTTCCTAGTGGAAATAAGAGACTTGGTTCTCAGGGATTGTGCCGCTGGCTTTTAGGGATATATTTAAGGTTTTAGTCGGCCCTAGTTTGGGGTTATGCTTTCTTTTATGCAACTTTAGAGACAGAGAATAATTGCTAGGGTTCTTGGAGATTTTCTACTTTAAGATGTTTTCATTCCTTTTCTTCTTAATAATATTTTGTTTGATTTTTATTAAGAGTATGCGTAACTAATTCCTTTGCTAGGGCGAGACCATGAGCCTTAACATGAATATGTAATTTTATTAACTTGATTATGAATGGATGCATGCTTGCTTTGAATTATTAATCACCGCGATTAAAACTATATATATATTTTAATGATTGATCACCATTAGAATATTTAGACAAGTAATTTGATGCGATCTCTGTTGGAACATCACCCTGAAATTGAGGAGGGCTTCTTGTGATTAGTAATTGTAAGTTAACTTAAGACGAACATCACGCTCTTAAGAGTTGCATGGTTTTTCAAAGGGCTTTCACAAAGCCTAATGAGTCTTGCATGTTTATAATTGATCTAAACATCACAGGCGGATTGCATGTTAAATATACGTTTTTGCTTGAACATCACGAGGAAAATATGCATTAGGAAAACCTAACCTTCAAAGCATGTATGTGGAAATTCATAAGTAGTTGATAGAATTGCATAGGATTGTGAAGGTGACGGCTAAACCCTAGATTTCTCTAAATTGTTAATTTTAAAAACGTTTTTCTTCTTTGCTGCCATTATTTCCAACTTTCAGATTTCTTTTATTGTTAATTTAATCTATTTAAATTCATAAATCTCAAATCTTTGATCAAATCTGTTTTAATAATTAATTAAGAGTTAGTTTAATTACAAATTAGTCAAACAATCTTTAGGGACAACGACCTTGCATGAGCATCTAAACTACAATTACTTTGTATTCTTGCAAGTATTTTCAATGATTTTAACCCTATTTTGCGCAGGTACTAAAAATCCTATCAGATTATATGTCAAAACTCAAACACAATGTTAAGAGGACTTATCTGGCAGGCTTACCCAAAGGAGGAGGGAACGTATACAGAAACATCCACTGCAGAGAAAGCAAATTGTTCATAAAAACTCTAAAGGTTTACTTACATGTTGTGCATGAACAATGAGCGATAAGCCCTGGCAGACACGACCCGAACTTTGATTCTGTTTTCCGGATTGCAGTGACTATATTTGACAAGGCGTTTAGAAAACTTACCACACTGGATTTCTTCTCTTCATAACCTGGCGAGACTCTTTTTGAAATGGAATCGGCTAAAGGAGGATCCTCCAGTACATCTACAAGGTTTGCCAAATCTGGTACATCTTGAACTGCTTCAGGTTTATGACGGGGAATGTTTGCATTTTAAGGAAGGAGGGTTTCCAAGTCTAAAGGTATTAGGTATGACAAATTAGGAGTGGAAAAGATTATCACGGATGAGGGAGTAATGCCTTGTCTAGAAAAGTGAATAATCCAGCGCTGCAACTTGTCGAAGAAGGTCCGATCAGGCATTGAGCATTTAAAAAATTTAAAAGTTGCTAGAATTTTTGGATATGCCAGATGAATTAATCCAGCCACTACTTCCTGATAGTGGGGAAGATCATTGGAAAGTTGCTCACGTTCCAGCAGTTTACTTTTCTTATTGGAGAGGTGGGGCTGGGGATGTGAATTGATTAGAGATGATTCATCCGGTAACTTCTTCTGCCATGAGGAGGCTTCAAATATCCTATGGAAGGCATAGTTTAGGTTATGGCCTATATTTATTTATTTAGTTTATCATTCCCGGAAGGGGAATTCTAAACAAGTCTATCATGAACTCATGACTGAGCTTCTACTCCTGCTTATAACTTGAATTAATTCTTGTACTCTTTTACATTTTTTGGCTTTTTATAATCATGCTTTCGGTTGACTGAAAAATAACTTCATTTATACGAATTATGCACAGCATCAAACGAAAATCACTGTACATGGGATGGGCTCCTCATGTTCAGTAGTGAATTTCCGAATGTTGTGAACGCCTTCCTACTAGTACAATAAGACCAGGGAAAGTGGTTCCTAAATGTTTTTAGTTTTTCTTTTCAACCAAAAAAAACAAAAGAAAAGAAGAGATGTTACCCCCCATAGTTTCAGTTTCACTTTAAGCAGTTAATGACTGAATTGACAATAAAAATAAAATAATTGCAATTACCTGGCCTGGGCATGGGCAGGGCCTTTCTTAAATATCATTTATCCTTTCCTCTGAAAATTGTAATAGCACCCTTTGCGGTCGTTCACAGAAACAAAGACAAAGTAAAACTGAGAGTCCTAGGTACTTCATTGGAAGCCCTCCCTACATTGCACCTGAAAACAGATGCTAACTCATCCATTCTCTTTTCGTGAGCATTATTCCCGGCTACCAAATGCTTTGCTCCAATCTCCGTTTTTATGCTTTTCATGGGCTGAGTTGTCATCATTTTTTATAACTTGGAGGAATAGATCTCCTCTGTCTCAGCATTGCATCACATAGCTTTACAGCATCTACATTATCTCTTACATTATGTACTCTTACAATATTTGCTCCGCCCAGGACTGCGGCAGTGACAGAAGCAACAGTAGCAGCATCTCTTTCAGTTGCAGCAGTGCGATTACAAACTTCACCTAAAAATTTCTTTCTCGAAGGTCCAATTAGTATGGGCGCATGAGACAAAGCCAAACTTTTCCTCCCAATCTCTGCTTGAATATTTGGTAACCCCATTAAGATTTCCAAATTGTGTTCACGGTTCTTTGAAAATCCAAGTCCAGGGTCAATTATCATCCTCCAAGCGGGGATGCCTAATATTTCAGCTTCTCTCACCTTCGAGTATAACTCAGACACAACCTGCTTACAAACATTATCATATTGCAGGTTCTCACTGTTCTGCATTGTCGATGGATCTCCCCTCATGTGCATTGCAATGTAAGGAACTTTGAGGTCAGCAACGACTTTTAACATGTTAGAGTCCAACTGCCCGGCAGATACATCATTTACAATATGAGCACCCTTACTGACTGCTTCTTCCGCAACTTCTGAATAAAATGTGTCCACAGATACAATCTTTCCCTCTGCTTCAGGCAGCCCAAGAACTGCTTCTAAGACAGGAATTAGTCTATCCAGTTCTTGTTGAACTGAAATCCTAGAAGCCATTGGCCGTGTAGACTGTGCGCCAATATCAATCATATCTGCCCCCTCTGAAATCATTGAACGGACCTGAGAAATTGCTGCCTCCACAGACTGAAACTTTCCTCCATCACTAAAACTATCTGGGGTCAAATTAAGGATACCCATTACCGAGGTTTTCGTTGACCAGTCCCAAAAGCCGTTTCCAATAGGCAAAACCCTCTTCAGTCCTTCCTTTCCAATGAGTGGTTCACCGCCCAATTTCTCCCAAGAATCAAAAAGCCCATCAGAATGGTTTGAGAAAGAATGCCAACAAGAAACTGTATCGCTGTCAATACTTGAACCCAGCAAATCCATTAGTGGGGCCATTACAAATGGTCTTTCCCAAATTCTTTCATGGGGGACCACAAGAATCTCAGAACTGATTCTTTGCTTTCCATAGAACAATATATCCAGGTCGATTGGCCTGGGACCATACCTAATACCATCAGTACGACCCATGTCCTTTTCAATTTTCTTCAGTGCTCCTAATAACTCATGAGGCCCAAGTTGTGTAACAGCTCTAACAGCAGAGTTGAGAAAATTAGGCTGATCAGTCACATAGGCTGGCGCTGTCTCATACAAGCAAGCATGTCTTGTGATGTGTATGCCCGATTTTCTCATTAACTGCAAGGCTTCATTGAAATTATGCAGTCTGTCACCCACATTGCTTCCCAAAGCAATCACTACCTCCTGGTCCGGAGAATGAACTTGTGCTGAGAAGTTTGGGGATGAATGTATGAAAGAAGAACACGATGCTGCATTGAAAGTGTAAACAAGCATTAGGAAGGCTGTTTAGGCCTCTGTACTCAAAATTAAGCATTAGTGATACAAATTCATAGTCTCTTTTCCCATCGACTGTCTTTGATGCTATTATACATGCAAGGATTTCTTCACCAATGAAAAACATATTTTTATATTGCTACGACATAAAAAAAAAAAAAACGAGTGAATGGAACTTGGGTTTACCTCGACAATACTTTGTGACATCATTCAATCGCTTGACTGTGGGCACGAGCAGCTTGACTATGTTCATGTTAGAACTAGGAAGCAATCTACAGTCGTATTACTATTAGTCAGTTTTTGACATTTCAATTTCTCAAACACCAAACTTGAAAGAAAAAGAAATTGAGTGGGGGGGGGGGAATTAACCTCACTCAAAGTTGGAAGTTGAATCGAGCAGAAGAGGAGAGCAGGGCAGCCACTTGGCGGGCGATTATTGTGAATTAGCTTCAAGGTGACCAACTGTTTGGAATGGAGCAGGAGCTAGGGCTAGAGAGGTAGCCCTCCCATGGCCGCAGCACTGCATTGATAATCCATTGAATTATTCTGCAATGGCATTGGGTGTGACTCAGACTCACAACAACAACAACAACAACAGAAGCACAGAAGCTAAGAAAAGAATCTGGAGAAGACAGCTCTCAACCAATTTCCCAAACCATATCAACACAACACTGCTAATCCCAATTTCACAAATTCTACAGCACCGAAATTTAATAAAGAAAATCACTTGGACCAAAACTAATTATATATATATATATATATGTAGAGAGAGAGAGAGAGAGAGAGTTTACCTTGTTCGGAGATAGGAGAAGTGGACAGTGGAGCGGAGAGCGCATAGAGAAGAGAGATACGAGAGAGTTAGCGCGGGTTACGTTAAAAGAGGGAGAGGCTGCTCGGGAGAAAAATTTGTCTGGAGCTAGCTAAACCTAGGACTCTTCCTGATTGAGTTTGGATACTTCTATTTACGTACACATTTTTATTCCTCACTTTTTAAATTTTTTTGCTATTAATCTTTTTCAATTCATTTAATCCAACAGTATTGTGTGATAAGCACCGTTCTAAAAATTCTCACCTAGCGCCGCTTAGGCCTTGTCTTGATGCTAGGCGGCTGACTACCGTCCCGATTAGTTTATAGGTGTTTGAAAATTAAAAAAATGCGCCTACATTTGCTTAGTTGTCCGCCTAGCCCACCTAATCTCATGAAGAATGTTTGTTCAATAAGAATAAAATGACACAAATTCTCTTAGTTTCTATTAGATTAATTTGGCTTTTTTATTTTATTTTATTAAATTGATGATATTTTTGTTATTTTGACCCTTATTTAATAGAGATTTTTTTACGAAACGATCAAAATAATTAACGATAACGATAGACAAACTCAAATACCACTTGTATCAATTTAAAATCACAATGAAAAAAGTGAAAAGTTAACCAATCTCAAGGGTAATTTCAAGCTAAGAAGCCAAAGATTTAAAATAAAAGTAGTTATAGTAGAAACACTTGTGAGCAACGCTACTTTCTGCTATCTTGAGAGAAGCAATCTCCAGCTGCAACTAACCCTAAACCCTAAAATACATGTCACACAAATAGTCTGATGCAATGTAACCCCACTTTGGCAATGCACGCAGTGCAAAGATTAAAGATTTATAGGTTCAAGCAATCATCCATCAGCGAGTAACGGAACATGAAAACATTTACGGCGAAACGAACAAGTTGCGAGAAGGAGAAAATCATTAAAACTAATGAAAAAGCATAAAGTTAGGTTATCTAGGGAAAGGAAAATTCAAAATACAAAGGTATAACGACAGCGCATTTTAATCGATTCACCATGTCTCTAGGCATGCCATGCCACTAAACAATGGAGTATTACTCCCAAGTACAGTACACAAGGCCGCTCCTTCCAGGAAAATGATTCAACCAAAAAGCTTCACCAATAAGAAAAGCAGCATAAACAAAGTTGGCCCAAAGTGCTCAATCAACCGAAAACTAGTGTTTCCTGGCCCCCTTGCATTTTGAACCCCCCATTTCTCCGATAAGGGTTTGTTACACTGGGCAGAAAATAAAGCAAAAGGCGACTCAAGACGCAACCAAATCAGGTGTTTCCGCCTCGATCGATAACAAAGCAGTATGGACTTTGTCCAACCAACCGTCCAGCCTATCACGCAAAGATTGGATCTGTGGAATCCCCAATACTCTTGGCTGCACCCAGGACACATGCACCGTCTCCTCAACCTGATCGATTATTCCCTCAATCAGATGAACCTGCACTCAACATCTCTCCCATAATTATTAAATAGAAAATAGAAAGAAAACAACACTTTCTAACTACAGAATAAGTGAATAAATCATCCAACACCCTGCTTGTCTGCAATATAGAAAATCCAAATGCAAATCAGATTAACAAAGAAACTACCAAAATCCATACGATACATAATAATTACAAATCATAACGTATTCGGTCTCCTTTTATTTATAAAATTACCAGTGCCAAGTCTTCAGTAAACCCCGCAAAAACAGAGAGAAAAAAATCCGATTAATTACTTCCTTGTTAAGGCAGAAACTACTATCCTAAATCTTCCCTTGTTACAACTATTGTACAAGACAGCTATACAACTGCAAAACAATTAGATGCAATAAAGGCCTTATATTTATTGTCTGAAACTAAATTGTATGTAAAATAATATTACAAATAAATACAAGAAAAACATATAATTATTTACACTCATTTGCATGTCACATGCTGCATGCTGCATGCTGCATGCTACATGCAATATATCCTAGGTCAGTTATATTGAATTGAAAGTGTGAAACCCACTACATATGTACAAATAAGATTTGAAATGCCAATACCATATACATAGGATCTAACATGTCTCAAACGTGTTCATGTGATCAACTTTAGAATACTAGCACTTTACCAAGTAAAAAGTTCAGTCTCTCAAATCATAAGCATCTCATTTTAAAAAAAAAAAAATTGTTTCCCTATTCTGAATGCAAGAGTTATGAAAAGTATCGTTGTGAGTACTTAATCTTTACTTGTTACTAAGACATGCATTGAGAACTGTCGTCATAAAAACCAGTCTTCTCTAATGGTATACATCTGCAAGTGGGGAGAAATGAAAAGGCAGGGCTTGTAGAACTTTAGTTTGGACAATCCAAATTAATTCACTGTCCATCAAGTTTAAGAATACAGGAACTTACGGAAAGGCTCTTCACAAGAAGATGCTCCACATCCTCAACAGAAAGTTTGGTGCGCTCTGCAATGATACTCAATGGTATAGTCCGATCTTCAGATGGCCGGCTGCAAGGACCATATCAACTTAGTGAATAGTAGTTCAAAAGCACACACCTTTGTTACAGATTACAAGTGAAAGGACAATCTAGAACACACAAACCTGAAGATAATTTCCATCAAGCACAGAATGTTAATCTTCTCCAAAAGCTTCTTCTCATTTTCAACTAATGCTGGTTGTGCTCTCAGAGCAGCATTGTGCACACGACATAATTCTTGATACCGAACTAAATCACCAGAGTTGAACGCTTGAAGAATATAGTAAAGCCACTCTACCTTTGTCCCTAGAAGGCTCTTAATCTGCATAGATTGTTAAAATTTGTCATCTACTAAAAAAGAAAAGTGAAGCGCAAATAACTTAGTATAATGTAGCCTACACATATCAGAAGAAACACATGGCAACTACATAGAAACTTTTTAGGTATGTAATTAATATCTATATAAGGTCATCCACTAAAACACTAATGGACGGTGCAAGCATCCACGGTAGGGTAGATAAGAGAAATTCAGATCCTAAAATCACATGGTTCACTAAACCATTATGCAAACCCAATGTACAAACATTTATCCATGTACAAAGAACCATGTATGCACATATCATACAAAGATCCAGGCAACTAGGTTTGAGATGACAATCACTTCATGATAGTCTATAGCAGTAGAAATCAAAATTAATTTATCAGGCTCTAGGTGGGAAAGTGAAAATAAAACCGAAGTGAAAAAAGGGTACACGAATTGCGGTAATAACTGATGACTGTACAGTGTATGATAAATAGCAGTATCAACAAGACTGCATTGCGAATCTACATACAGGCTTAGTTGCGCATTGCATGACTTATTTTCTGATCAATTTCAAATCCAATGTCCTAGTATTTGGTGCAAAAAAATATCATATAAAGTAACAAAAACACCTTGTGCATCTTGAAAGGGAACTCTTCCAAGTAACACGCAGTGCACAGGAAGCAAAATATTATGAAACCAAACAAAAAACTCTGCAAAAATGTTCTTACAATAGGATGCGCAAGCAGCTCTCCAAAGTTGTAGATATTATCTCCCAGGAGCGCAGAAAGGGACAAATCAAATGCCAGATCCTTAAATACGATGCAAACAACCAAACCGTTAAAAATTATCATGGATTAAAAAAAATAAACTACCAATCAGTCACTCAGAAGTAAAAATAAAATTAAAAAGTTACCAAATATGAACAGTTGACTCATAGGAATCTGAAAGATAAATATTACTGTCCGCAGAGGCTATCACTCATGCCCTAATCACAACTGTTCAAATGCATACTGAACCAGTAAAAAATAAAAACTATGAAATGATACCCTTAATTAACTATGGGTTGAACAGAGTCAATGTTCAAGGCAGCCTGCACACTACAAGTGCACTTAGCCAAGTTAATGGATTCTCCTAGAAGGGTACTAAAATGCAACTACAAACCTTTCCGGTTCTTGCAAACCAGAAATCCCCAATTAACTGACAGAAAAAGAATTGAATGCATTTCTCATCTTTTGCCCACCTATGCTACAATAAATAAAAATTATACTACACCATTTCTATTCAAGAACATAAAAGGTTAAGTTCCCTGACATTAATCCTATTACATATTTGTCTAACCAATAAAATCTTCACATTAAGTTGTATTCTCTAAACTACCCTATTAAAATTATGGTTACAATCATATGGGTAACTCATGATGGCAGGAAGTAGAAGATTGTCCATTCTCTTTATTTTATTCGTTTGGCATAATATATTTATAAGGCAAAGCATGCTTTGGAAGATTTGAATCCAAGCATGGAACTCAACAAATTATAACACTTGAAGCACGAAAATGCTTTGTGTTTCTACAAAACTAGTGATTTGGTGAAAGCAAAGCCAGAGACAGTTTAATAAATACACATGCATTTAAAAGATCCTGCAGACAGGAATATTTAGAAGAGATATTTTGCCGAGGGAGATGCAATCATAAGAAATGGAAGATATTTAAATTTAACAAACGATTCGTCTCTAGTATGTATGTGCAACTACAGATTTCAAGCCTTCTTGTAACATAACATTCCAAAATAATGATGGGATGTAGAAACTAGGAATAACTGCAAAGGAAAATGGTTCACGAATAAGAGTATCAATGCATACCAGCTTGAATGATTCTGAGAGCGACTCCACTGATGTGTATGCTAGATAAAGAAGAGCACTTTTGTAGAACTCAGCAAATTCTTGACGGAACTTATGATATTGAGATGATACCCAATAATAGCTAGCATATACAGATGGATCAATGTCAGTCATGCTGTCAAGTGTAGTCTTTCCATCTTCTAGAAGCCTTTTGCATTCTTTTTGGTCTTGTTGCTCAAGTTTGAATATTGCTATTTGCATCTTAATGTAAAGGATTGGTTCCTCTATGCGTTGCTCTCTAGTGGCTTGAAGCTTCTCAATCACTCCTTCTAGGTAACTGATAGCAGCTTCCTTCTCTGGGTACTGTCGAGAAACGATGACCGCAAAGTGTGCAAGCTTGAGAAGGTTGATTTTAGTCTCAAAATCGGTGATGAAATTGTGGTATAACTGTATTAAAGCATCACCAGCCTGATATTCAATAATAAGAAACAAAAGTCAGTTGTGGGAAGAAAGGACACATCCAAGAAACAAAACGTC